TCTTGGCAGCTTCGCCTCAGGTATTCTCCAGCTTTCCAAACCACCAAGCAAAGAGATCCCACTTCCTGCAGTCTAAACACATAAATTCATCTATGACAGGAGGCGCTATAATTGGAAAAGGTGCTTTTAGAAAATTATAGTTCAAGATGGGAAATCCACCAATCAGCCTCTCATCTCGGCGTGAGGGAGAACCTCGGAGAAGGAGTGCAAGGCAGCGTATCGGGCACCACCTCTAGCTGGACTCCCAAACCTTTTATGACCACAGGGAAAAGTGGATTTGGAACATAGGTAACAGCCCGTACTTATCAAGCCGACAAACTCATTTTCTTGCGCCTTGCTCTCTGCTCCCCCGTTCTCACTGGCTGCCCTGGTGTGGAGGTTCCTATTTTTCAGGCACAACTGGGCAGCAGTAACGCTGAATAGATTAGACCTCCAACACTGGAATGTGGTTTCAGGCTCCCAGCTTTCACCCCTAACTCTGGCTGTGTTGTTCCAGGCTGCTAATAAATACTGCTAATAAAAAGGAATATGCTTCTGTATTCAGCTTATAGAAAAAATGGCTGGCATCTCTTTGACAAGTGAGAATTCCACCTCTTAAGTTCACCTGTGCTTTTCATTATTCCCAGCATCAACACCTTTTGGTTAGATTATTCCTGCTCTTAGATGTACGGGAACATGAACCCCACCGAGTTGTCAGCGAGTACTTCATCAGTGGAATGGAGCTCGTTCTGTAGGCGTTCATTAGAAAGATTTTCTTTTCTGAGCCTACATTCCTTAACGTCGTCAGTATTGGAAAGTAAACTTTTTCCTGACTTTGAGATAAAAGTTGAACCCCGTCTTTTAGTCTGTGACACTGATGTTGTCAGTCAAAGGCTGCAGAAAGACACTGCTGCCTCCTGCTGAGATCCTGGTCTTATCTGGCTCATTTTAACCTGCCTGCTCCTCTTCCTCAGTCTGTAACGGTGCGACAGCTCAAGCTAGTTAACCTTTCAATTTTAACTGTAAACATGTTTTTCTACCTTCATTTACTTCCCTCGATGAAAAGGCTTTTGGTTTGAGTTCACAAATGTGGAATGGTGTTTGGAGTCAGTCGTCATTTCCTGAGGGACTCAGGTGAAATGTGGTATTTAGCTTTTTTTTTAAACACTTGATCGTCTAAAAACATTCCTAGGTCATTTAAGAGGAACTACATCAACACGGAGTCATTTCTGCTTCCTTAAACTTTTTTTCCCCACCAGACGTCTCTTTTCATAAAAATATTTGTTCAGTTGGTGAATAGTATGTTACCTATTGATTACACTGTCATACCCTCCCATGCTCGGGCATCTGGACTTTGGCCAGTACTCCCAGTTTTGAGTTCCTATCTGCTGGTGTTAGCCTGCAGCTTCTGTTTGGTGGTATTGATAACTTTTTTGTGGGAAATGGTTACACGAGGTAGTTGTGAACAGATGCTGTTATCCTCCCTCGCTTGTCTGTTATTGCCCTGATCTTGTGACAGCGAATGTTGTGTATGCAACTTGAAGCATATGTGTTGCCATTTATTTCTTCAGAAGCAGAGCTGAAGCTTAGCAGTCCCCTACTGTTTCTGTAATGAGGATAAAAAGCTGCTAAAGACAGCTGTTTTGCCTCTGATAGGATGCTGCAGGAAATTTAGGTCCGTTCCATCTTCTCATGTCATAAAGAGTGCCTTTTTTTAATTTATTTTTTTGTTACTGGAAAAGATTCAAACGTGGCCGGGAAGCTCTGTCCATCGAACAAACCCGGATCTCCAGCACAGTAAAGCAGAGATTATTACCCTTCCTTTGGTCCCTCTGGTCTGATTCTCCCTCTAGTTCCTCTAGAGCAAGGCTGCTCAGTCCTGGTCCTGTAAATCCACCGCCCTGCATATTTTAAACACACCCGATTCATTGCTCAAGTTAGTTAGAAGCCATTGATTCACACCAGGTGTGGTGTTGCAGGTAAACATAGAAAACCTGCAGGTAGTGGCCTTCAAGGATTAGAAGTGAACACCCCTGCTCCAGTCGTTCTCCATCTGTTAAGTTCTCCAACAGTAAAATGTATTTTCAGCCCAGTATGCACAAAACTCCACTTCTCCTGGATTCATTGATTTACTGGAATCAGCTGCTAACCCCATGATTTAAAGCCACTCGCCTACTGCTGAGTTGAGTTTCTCCTGCACTATTTCATGATTTAACTTCTGCATTCACATCTCCAGCAACAACAAATCTAACAAAGTTCTGTAAGTTCATCTTTGACGTTAAAAGGCACTTTGTCAGCTGTAGGCGTAACTGCGTTTGAGCCCAGTGCCCAAAAGGCTGGTGGTGATGATTTTGCTTGTGGGTGGTAGTGTGTGTTTGTTTTGTCTGCCTTGTTGGAAAAATGGGTCGTAAACAACTGTCAAAGTATTCAGTGAGTGAATGTTTACTTTTGTAGTCTACTCAGTTCTAGATGGCCATCACACCTGAAAAACATTAGCAAACAGAAACAAGGTAGAAAGTCGTTCAGTTTCACAGATATTGTAGAATTTTGTGTTTGTATCTGGAAGTCATTCACAACAAAGTGCTAAACCACCTTGTGACGTTTAACGATATTGTGTGAGCTTGTGCTTAACTTTTTAGGTTAGGGTTAGGGTCAGTGCCAATTAAACCTATATTTTGAATACATTTGCAGTTATCTATAGTAGGAATGAATGCCTTGTAAGTTGTACTCTGGGGGAGAAAGCTCTGCTACGCCTGTTTCAGGAAGTAGAAGTGAGCCGTATCAGAGTTGAGCTTCAGACGACAGGATTTGGAGTCTTACTTCCTGAAATTTGGACATCTCGCCTCTGATTGGATAACAGCAACCCGACTACCACTGACTGTTTGCTTTGCAATGTTGATGTTTTATCTCCACAAATAACACAAGCCTGGAGGAGTTCTGCTGTGTGGTGGAGTTGCTAATGCTAATGATTAGCTTCTACTATTGGTGACGTTCTCTGCTATTTTCTGGACGCTAAACCAACAACAGCCTTCCCCGTTGTGAGTCAAGATGGGTGAGTCCATGAATGTAAAGTGACAGTGTGACATAGATCTGTGATTCTTTTCAAATCCCAGAGTTTCACCGTCTATTTTCTATCAGAAGCTAATGCAGCAGATAGGTGTAGGAGACTATTTTCATGTTCAGCCTGCATGAAAAACTCAGATTGACCGATTATAATCAGAATAATGATAAGAAAATGTTTTTTTCAGTAAAGTTGACCTTTAAACCTGTGGTGGTTGATCAGTATTTCTTCAAGCAATGTTAGGACTTTGATTTTTCGGAGCGCTAACAGCCGTGTTTTAATCTCTCAGTTCATTCTCCATTGAGACCCCAGAAGGACACTCGAGTCAGGTATTCTCCATTCATTTATTAGTGAGACAACTGCACCAGCTTATCTGGAATGCCATGCTGTCCTTTCTCAGTGGCCTAGTGGTAGAGTGTCCGTCCTGAGACTGGGAGATCAGGGGTTCGATTCCTGGTCGGGTCATACCAAAGACTTTGAAAAAATGGGACCCAATGCCTCTCTGCTTGACACTCAGCATTAAGGGGTTGGATTGGGGGGTTAAACCACCAAATAGTTCCCGAGCGCGGCTGTGTCTGCAGCTCACCGCCCCCCCAGGGGATGGGTCAAATGCGGAGAACAAATTTCGCACACACACCTGTGTGTGTGACAACTAATGGGACTTTAACTTTAACTCCTACATATATTCACTAATGTGAAAGTGGAAAAATTCTATTTAATTCAGCCACTTTCTGCTGTAATTATTTGTGCTTTTGAGAGAACAAAGTGCATTGAGGACAAGCAGCCTCATCGTCACTGTAATGGACAATGCATCACATAGCTTCTCTCTCTGGATCCAACACTAGGAACATGAGGTAGAGAAATTACCTCCTAGTAGTTAAATAGCTGAACAATTGGCATAGCATCTCTCTTTCACGCTCCGTGTTCTCTCTCTTTCTCGTCTCCTTCTCCCCTGGAGACATGACATTTCCTTAGCCAAGTGCAGGCATATTTTTAACTGCATTTAACACCCAGCCACTTATTTCACTATATGCTTTGCATTATTTAAATATCTTCATAACCCCTTAATTTTTTTCCAGCTCTACACCATCCCTGCAGAACTGATAATTGGTGTTATTTATCTAAACAATACCACTCTGTGACTTTTAGAGCTGTGAAAGCTTGAATAATGAATGAATACAAATGCAAATCAACGGCACTTTCTCTGACTTTGGAATGGCCCGTGTTAGCACAATGTTTGAGCTGGAGGCCAGGAAACCCGCGTTTCAGAGCGTTTACTCCTTCGCCGTGCTTAAAATAAAGCAAGACGTGATTCCAACTTGCCAGGGAGGCTAGACGAGGCTAAATTTGTCAGTTCTTCTTGCCACATTCCACTGAGGTCTGTGGTTTCATAATAAAATGACCTGGAGGCTCTGTGATTGGCTCACTGGCTTAAAGATGCACTGAACAAAAAGATGATTTATTTATTTGTTTGTTTTTTTGCTTAGGGAGTATTCATTGAGTGCTCTGGGCACTTGGAGTCCTGAAATGTTGTTTTATTTTCAGTGAGTTCTGAAATGTGCTGCATGAGTTGATGACGTCTTAGGGGATGTGATTTTCAGTCAGTTGGAGTCCGTTTTTTAGATCTTTCCTGAGTGAAACAAACATTTGAAGGTATTCCTATTGTTTTATTTATGCTTTTACACACACACACACACACACACACACACACACACACACACACACACACACACACACACACACACACACACACACACATGTAACTGTGTTTAGAGTAAAGTTGTCATCTGACTCATAACATATCTTTCTCCTGGTGGAAAAAGGGACATTAGGTTTGGTGACAGTATTGAGGCATTTATTGATCATCCCTCACTGCTGCCCTTCTAAGACGTTAAAAAGGTTCATGTGGCGACGCCAGCCTTCTGTTCACACCTTTCCTCTACCTCTTTCTGCCCTTCAGTGCCGCACCCCTTCAGCCCTTTCTGGTTCACGGTGGAGCCCCAGGACACGCTGGCCATCCGGGGGAACTCGGCGCTGCTCAACTGCTCGGCACACAGCGACACGGCCACGCCGGCGCGCATCGAGTGGAAAAAGGACGGCACATTCATGAGCCTGGTCTCAGATGAGCGGCGAAACATCCTCCCAGATGGTTCGCTGTTCTTCACCCACGTGATCCACTCAAAGCACAACAAGCCAGATGAGGGCACCTATCAGTGTGTCGCCACGATCGACACCCTGGGATCCATTTCCAGCCGCACAGCACGCCTCTCTGTAGCCGGTAAGGAACACCAGCCTCAGAAAGCTTCTTCACAGACTCATACACTCGCATACAAAATAACCACGTACAAAACTGTGCTTTGGTTGTTTTTCTTATTGTGCTTCTTTCTTCCTAAACCATTCAACCGACTGCATTTCCTAAATGGATAAGTGCTTGTCAGGAGGTCTGTTTTTTTCATTACTTCTCCAAGACTGTGACCTTGTTCAGCTTGGGGGAACAGCAAGTGACGTGGGATTATTAGGTGTTTTGAGTCAAGTCATGCCCTGAAATTCAATTTGGTGCTGGAGGAGCCCCAGAATGCATTTAGTGTGAGCTTCCCACTCAGCCGTGGACTGCCAGGTTTTAAGATGCCCGAGAGAGGCCTCTTGTTGACAATGGGGTTGTATGTTAGAAGCCTCTCAGACACTGATTATCGGTGTTACTGTACAGCTGTGTTTCACTTTAGTTTCATTGGTTAGTTAGGAAGGTGCTATGTTAGAGACACGGTTCTTGGAAAGCCACTTCCTGCGTTCAGGTTTCCACACGCACACATCGGTGCATAAGTCAAGCTGCTTAATCATCAACTTTCTTTGTTGACTGACTAATATTGTCTTACTGTGAAATTAAACGGGTTAGAAAGGTGCAGCAGAAGGTGCTTCATTGAAAACATTTCCAGATTAAATAATTGTATCATGTTTGTGATCCGGTCTGAGATGTGCCAAGAACAAAGTCGGAGTGTTTTGTCTTTACTTCCCAGACACATTGGACGGAGATGGCACGCAATCTTTTAACAGAATTTAGAGTTGTTTCATCTCTGTGAGTTTTTCTATGTCTCTGTGTTGTTGTTCTCATGAATAATAAATTATAGTCGTGAATATGCTCCCAGTTCAAAACAAATCCCCCTTTTTTCCCCTGCTGCACATGAAGTTGACAAATTTTACATCAAGCAGAATCAGGAATTACATCACAGATTGCTATATAAAGTATCATCGGTGCTGCAGGGTATTAGAAGGTGCCTTTGTAGGGTTTTGATGTAAACAAACTAAATTGTATTTGCATTCACGGTTAGTAGTGTGCTATAAATGAATTAGCTATGCTATTGCTTTACTGCTTTCTCTGATGTCCACCAACATGCAGTCTTTCTACGACTTTGGGAAACTTTACTCTAGGGCTGGGCGATATGGCCTAAAATCAATATCATGATATATTGAGGATTTCTCCTTGATAGCGATAAATGGACGATAACTACAGGTATGCTCAAAAACTAAAGTTGTCCACTAGATGGGGCTGTCTCGTGTGTTACATTGAGTCATGTTGTCATGTGATGAGGTGGTACAGCTTCTTGAAGGGACATGAATGTCGCCAACTCACACATTTTTACATTTTTTTATTACCAAATTCATTGTCATGGGAAAAATGAAATTGTTTAGTCAGAAATTTTGATTATGATAAATTTTAGAACGCCCCCCCCCCCCCCCATCTGAATTCGAGTGGTGTTTTGTTATTGGTCTCCCTGGGCTGCCAACTTTCCGTGGTGGAGGGGTTTGAGTGTCTCACCCATGGTCATGAGCTTTGGGTAGTGACCGAAAGAACGAGATCGCTGAAACAAGCGGCCGAAATGAGTTTTCTCCGAAGAGTGGCTGGGCTTTCCCTTAGAGATAGGGTGAGAAACTCGGTCATCTGGGAGGGGCTCGGAGTAGACTCGCTGCTCCTCCACGTCGAGAGGAGCCAGTTGAGGTGGCTCGGGCATCTGGTCAGGATGTCTCCTGGACGCCTCCCTGGTGAGGTTTTCCGGGCACGTCCAACCGGGAGGAGACCTAAAAGTAGACCCAGGACACGGTGGAGGGACTATGTCTCTCACCTGGCCAGGGAACGCCTTGTGATTCCCCCGGAGGAGCTGGCCCAAGTGGCTGGGGAGAGGTAAGTCTGGGCCTCTCGCCTTATGCTACTGCCCCCGTGACCCGACTCCGGATAAGCGGATGAAAATGGATGGATGGATGGATGGATAAATTTTAGAATTATTGCCCAACCCTACTTTACTCTGATTCTGAAAGATAAGCAGGGCTGTGCCTGGTTAATACCTTGAGGGGAGACTGCTGTGGTAGAGTGGTCATCGTCCAACTAGAACATTGTAGATATTTAGTCCCAATTCTTTGTGTGCAAAAGGAAGACAAACATCTCACACAGAGATCTAATTACATAATAGATCTAATTTTTAGTTGGAAACTTTGGGAGATAAAGAGATAAAGACCTCTTCAAATGGTCCAGAACGCAGCGGCGCATCTGGTTTTCAATCAGCCAAAAAGAGCACACGTCACCCCTCTGTTCATTGAGCTCCACTGGCTACCGCTAGCTGCTCACATCAAATTCTAATTGCTAACACTAGCATACAAAGTCCGAGATGGTACAGCTCCCATCTACCTGAATCCTCTTGCAAAGGCTTACGTCTCGGCCCGGCCGCTCCGGTCATCACAGTATCGTCGGCTAGCAGTGCCTACACCACGCTCAGGACAATCCAGACTCTTCTCATGCATCGTTCCACAAATGTGGAATGACCTTCCAAGCACTACCAGAACAGGGGCTTCCTTTTCAATTTTCAAGAAACTCCTGAAGATCCTGCTCTTCAGAGAGCATCTTCTTAACTAGCACCTTCCCTGCACCCGTCCCCCCTCTCTACTGTCCACTCCTTATTCCCTCCTCTCCATGACTGATGTCAAGTTGTTGTTGTTATTGTTATTGTTAGCCTCAAGGGCAATATGCCGATTATCACTTGTAAGTCGCTTTGGACAAAAGCGTCTGCTAAATACATAAACACAAAGTATTTGAAGTGTGAGTTCTAGGAATTAAAGATGTAACTTAGGATGGGTTTACTCGGACCACGTTGTAAAAACCACCTGTTCTCTAAACTGACATGGAATACAGAAGGGACTTGTGTCACTGCTCTTACAAGATGTGCTGTAGTCAGTGGGAGCTGCCTGGGTCAGCCATGATGGGATGTTGGATTCAGTCAGTTTTTTTTTTTTTTGGAAGGGAGTAGGTGGAATCTGTCAGCTATTACAGACACACACACACTTTTATGATGACTTTCTTCTTCACATAAAAATTCATAAACCCCAATCCTTTAACCATTATACCCACACAAGTCATGAAGTACACTCGAGACTGTTGCAATTATGGTTCTTCTTACACACGCCTGCTGATGTATCTGCAGCTTGCTGGCAGTTGGCCAATAAAAAGGTTAATTGCAGTGTGGAAAGAGGAGGCTATCAGGCCGCCATCAGACCCTGGAATGATGGCGCAGGCTGGGGTGGGGTGGGTGTGACCTCTCAGATGTAATGACAGAATGAGTCACGGATGGTCGGTGTGGCGAGGAGCAAAGCTGACATATACCAGGGATTGGTTGCTGGGGGATGTGCTGCTTATTCTTCTAAAGGACACACCCCTACATTCACACGTCAGCACAATAGCAGTGAAGCATCTTTCTCTTTTTTTGTAATGTTCACGTGCACGCAAAACCTCAAGTAAAGACTTGAAAATATTCCATCCTAGAGAAATGGTCAAAGCAGTGAATATATTCATCTCGTATGTCAAAGCTCATGCTGCTCTGGAGCAGTGCAGGTATTTCAGGTTAGGTTGCAGTAGCGATACATCTCAGACCCGAACTTAGAGATACATTCTGAACTTTGGTATTCACACATACAGTACAGGCCAAACATTTGGACACCCCTTCTCATTCGATGTGTTTTTCTTTATCTTCATGACCATGACCATTTACAAAGGGGCCAACAAGTGCTAAACACCTCTGGGAACTCCTTCAAGACTGTTGGAAAACCATTTCAGGTGACTACCTCTTGAAGCTCATCAGGAGTGTGCAAAGCAGTAATCAGAGCAAAGGGTGGCTATTTTGAAGAAAAAAGAATGTAAAACATGTTTTCAGTTATTTCACCTTTTTTGGTTAAGTACATAACTCCACATGTGTTCATTCATGGTTTTGATGCCTTCAGGGAGAATCTCCCAATGGTCTACCATGGGCATGAAAATAAAGGAAACACATTGAATGAGAAGGTGTGTCCAGACTTTTGGGCTGTAGTGTATGAATAAACAGAATTAATTAAGTCTGATCAAATCAGATGAAAAAAAATTACCTGCAAAAGATTTAAGGAAAAGGAGCTTTAAATTAAAGCTGCAGGAATAAGTGCACTGGGGGTGAATGGAGACGCAACCAAGATGGCCGCCGGCCACTACGGCCAGTCCACAAGGCATCTACGTATATGATTTTGTGTCTTCCCCTACATTACAGGTGGAATATGGAACACACACACCAAAGAGACATCTAGTGTGTGGATGTTGCGACAATAGAACAAGGTTTCCAGCAGCCAGGAGACTAGGTTTGCTGCCGATACGTGACATTTTCTATTTGGATCCATCTGTTGTAGGCTTCACCTAAACTCACTAGATCATTTACGGTCTCTCCTCTTCTGAGAAGGACAACAGCATCTTCTGCGCTCAGAAGCAGCTACTTGATTTGCAGAGTCCACCATTTTACACAGGCTGTGCTGAGCGGACTGTTTGGCAACCCACAACCGTGCTCTCAATTGGCTAAAAGATGTACACATAAATCCAGTGGCGTGCCCCTCAAAATAAACATTTGATTATTTTTACATAATATAACAGTGCATAGTTTCCTGGCACTAGGGAAAATACATACATTTCAGGGCAGTTTTAGACCATATCACCGTGACTGTCGCTAGTTTATAAAAACATTACGGTAAATGTTGGTACCTGGGGAGCAGAAAGCATGCAACCTCTGTCTGACTCCTCAGACTTTGATGGTCTTTCAGTTAATTCCATCAAGAGAATGCAATGCTGATGCAAGTCTTTTGATGCTGTACTTTCCGGATCTGCTCACGGTACTGCACTTGCCGCTGACATCATCATACTACGGTACCACGGCTTGGCCAAAATATATTGCATCTTTTTTCCAATTCTGTTCTTTCACATAGGTTTTGGAAAAAAATTAT